TAACACCACAGAGTGTAGTGCCCAAAACCTTTATAAACCTGATTCAACAGCTGTATGACGATGCCACACACAAAGTGATTAACAAAGGAAAGCTCAGTGAAGCCTTTGAGGGAAGAACAGCAGTAACACGAGCTATCATACCATCACCGATGATATTTTTGATTGTGATGCACTAGATCATACAATAGACTGCGGGGAGAGAGGAAACAGGAATACTTTGGACCGACAAGAAGACTCTAGAGGATCTGGGATTTGAAAATGGTTTATGTCTTAAGTCACAGAAACTCGGAGATCTACGACTAAAAACCAAAAAGTTGGCAGAACAGCCTGGTAGCGAAGACAGGAATTCAAATGAACATGCAGAAGACAGTAGTGATGAAGATACTCCAGTGAATAACAATAAGAAGCACAAGTCACTACCAACGGAAGAAATCTAAGGGAAGTCATCTCTTTCACTTACCTCGGCAGCACCACTTTAGGTGGCACAAATTAGAATATCAAAGTATGCCAGAATCAGAAAAACGAAACAGACTGTCATTACTCTGAAATCAGTATGGAAATCTGCAGGACTCAGGATAAGGAACAAGATCCGAATTTTCAACACTATTATCCAATCAGTGCTTTTATGCAGTCCAGAAACTTAGCACCAGTGTCATCAAAAGGATTTCGAACAAGATGCATACTGAAGATCAGTTGGCGGGCCAGAAACGATTAGAATCAGGGGACTCTGGCAACGAACCAACTAAGAACCCATCGCCTAACAAATATGCAGAAGGAAATGGAGTCCGATTGAACACATGTTGAGCAGACTGTTGGGTGAAATCACGCACCGGGAAACAACGAGTTGGGCGTTCAAGGGTTGCATGAAAGAGATCTTGTGAGGAAGAAACGAAAGCGTATGGACAACTGTGGAGTCAGCCGAAAGAGACTCCAGGGAACAGGGTAAAATGAAGATTTGTTTTTGACGCTCTATGTTCCACTCGCAGCCCGAGGGAAAATATATATGCTGCTAAAGCACCACCTAGTAATACTGATTCACAGTTCAGTAGCTCACCTATACACATTGAATACAAGGTAATATAGGGGAAGACAAACAACTGACGTCTATAAAACATTGTTAGACCTGAATAATAAAATAAATGGTCAGAAAAATTGACGTGTGATACTATGATTTAGCGGAAGACAAGATGTCATTGCGTCTGTGACTTTTTGTGAGTGGTCAGCGCTTAGTTATTTTCAACCTTTTCTTCTTTATTAATTTGGCTATGAAATAACTGGTGCTAATCACAAGTTACTGTAAGCATATATTTCTTTTAGCATATAATATCCCTAAATAGATAGAGATAAGAGAATTAATATACAGATGTAAAACTGGGGCACTGTGGTTGTATGTAATTCCATATTAGTTTGTACATTAGATATATCACACAGTGAAACAGTATTATTATTTACTGGACGACGTTATTAACACAATTTATTGTTCATGATCACATGATATCAACCAGTAAATAGTACTGTTTTACTGTGTGATATATCTGATAAACAAATTAATATAGACACGCGAGAACTTTTTTATCTTTCTGAGACAAATGACTATCACTTTAAGTATTTGCTGAAGAGAAACTGTTATATATATATATATATATATATATATATATATATATATATATATATATATATATATATATATATATATATATGCATAATTTTATCAGCCTATTGACAAATCACCGTTATTTGTTTATATTTAATATTTATTTGTAAAGTTTTGTACATAAGAGTTAAGCCTGATGAGATCTAATCGTAAAAAATATTCGCTTACATGTATTGCTCTAAATTTTACTGTGGGAATATTTAATACTTCGAAAACTGGATATATCACGTCACAAATATACAAACACAAAGAATAACAGAAAGCAGTGCTATCATACAAAGAGGGAACCTCTAGAACCTCACGCAGGATTCTTAACAGAGCAGAGATAAAAGAGGCACTCAAACACGTTATGTCGGTTAAACGATCTTATGAAGACCATTAAACAAAATAATTCAGTTTATCTAATACCCTGCAGTGAGTGTAAGGTCAAATACATAGGTCAAGGTTGTTGGAGGCGGTCAGTTAGATTAGCAGACCAGAAAAACCTGACGAAATCTAAATTAATTGACCCACATAAAATAAGGGATTTAGAAAAAAGCTCAGGCATAACACCACACGCAGTTATAGGTATACAGCCATACAATAGGATGAGACAAAGTGGAAGTATTAAAATCTAATGTAACAGCCTTGTGGAAGAGACTGATAACCGGGAAGTAACTGAGAACAGATGCAACAGGAATGATTCAGCACCTGCTCCGGACATCTGGAAAGCTATGCTACACCTTCGATAAATGAAAAGGAAGAAAGAGTGATACAAATATCCAGTTTCGAAGTTGTGTAATTACAATTGATATAGCGACAAAGAATAAATTGTATTCGAAACGTTAACCAGTAAGTGATTCCGTTTCAATTGAATGATATATCCAATAAAATAATTAATATACAGTTACATAACTACCACAGTGCTCCAGTTTCACACATATTAATTTGAAATGTTCTGTAAATGCACTACACCACATATAACACTTCACAGTTAAATAAACTTAAGGTGAGTAGGTTTTAACTCGCGATTGAGAGTAGGAAGCTTGAACTTGTTTATATCAGTTGTTACGTTTTCTTTTACAAATCAGTCACTGTATATTAAGTAAAGCAGTTGAAATCCTTAACCATTGTTAGTATTTTAGTAATAATACTCTATTTTTTTAGAAATGGTAACCTTTTGGAGTGTAATTACATTCCCTTTAAAAAATGTGCATATCAGAAACGGAGTACTGTTGTGCTCACGATCTACACTGATAAGAATTTTTTATCATGTTAGAGTCAAGTTTTATTTCTGTAAAATATGTGAAAACATGGAAACCATGGCATACACAATACAATATACAAAAGCTTGTAAAAAAAATGTGATAGTCACACATTTTTAGGCTTCTATAGGAATGAAATAGGTTTATCAAAGGAAAGCTGAAATGATGCCAGTAAACACTCAAATAGTTGTTTGAATAAAATGTAATCAGTTGTCCAACATGCAACATAATTTTAAAAAGACATAAAATAACAACCAAAAACAGTGTAGCGATATTACTCGATTCACATTGAAGAATGGATTGTCCAGTGATATACGAAAAATTCAGTTGTTTGTTTGAACTCAGTTACCTGAAACAGACTAAAAGCCACTATTATCGTATTACGGCTGATGATTGTACCCAGTTGGTTAAGCTAAGGTAAGTGGAACGGGACTAGAACTCGTGACTTGCTGTCTACAAAACGGGCTTTTCAGCGGATTAGCCAAATCTACAGTACACAAAAAACTACCCTGACAGCTTGTACCGATGTGTTCCAGTAACTTAGGAATTAAAACGAATCAGTGTAAAACCTTTTACAGAAGAAATGTTTTAGTTCAACTCTCACCACACTGCGATGAAAAGAAAGCATAAAAGTAGAGAACAGAAATGTGTAATGATATAAAAATCAAACACAAACGTGAAAGTGACGGTAATTTGATAAAAATGAATGATAATGACGAGGATCTTGTGAAGAATAAAAATTAAACAAATCTGCGTCATTGTATGAGATTTTGAGCCATTTCACCAAGAGTTACTGACCACTGATTTTTAACATACCAAAGACTAGAGCCAAATGATGTTAAAATCTGTACGTAGCTCAACAAATTCCTGGGTTGATGATGTGTTTCTACCTGATCACACCGATCTCTTTTCTAAACTGATCGATTTAGATTGATAATTCCATGGACTGACCTAGCTTTCTTATTCAATTAAAACATTTCTCATAAATTTGTTCCACGTGATGTCAGCGATAATAACAAAGACTTATATGCTAAAAAGTATTTCGTTTCCCCTCATGTTTTCTACTTTCAGTGTCTAGTTTAGTTCACTAAATCATCTATACTAATCAGGATAAACAGAATGTATCAAATAAGTCAGTCTATTGAAAAATATCTCTTGAGGTAGGAAGTCATCTATATTGTTGTTCAACGAAGTTCTTGCTCGCCATTTTATACTATGAGGAAGTTAAGTTTAGTGACTGAAACAGGTAAAATAGAAAAATGACAAAAAAAATAGTGCTGATAATGCAGATAGGTCTACTATATACCTTTATTTTACACTTTGGAATTGTTATTATTATTATTCTGAGTTTTTTATTACATTGATTTTCATAAAATTTATTTGCTTTACTTTTCTTTTGGGTTCTTTAAATAAAATCTAGATATTTCTCAGCTGACCCACTTAATGGAGTCAGTACGTCCTATACCCTAATGAAAAATTATCAAATATTATAAGTAGAGAAGCTGTCAGTTCAGAAAATTACTCCCTACATTATAGATATTAGTAAATTACCACAGTTGCACAATAAAAACAATGTTTGGAACCAAAAACAATGATCATGTCCTTGCATTGATTCATAAAACTGTCTGAGAAATGTAGAGAAAACACAGCCCTAAGTAGTCGACATACCCACTGTTAGATGAAATTAGAATAAGTTGAAAAAGAGTTAGGGATGGTTAAATCAAAACATAGCGTCAGTCCATGAAGTCTCTGACAGTTGGTTTGAGGCATGTAAGGTGTAGACTACCTGATTTGGGTCATCAGGATACTAAGAACCAGTGGCTAGGGACGTGGCGATATGATTCAAAACCATCCTCAGTGGGGAAGATTTCCCAGATCCATTTGGTCCTGATATTCCTTTATATTACTGCTCTTTCTCCCACACATTTCCACAAATTATACATAATATAGATTTTCCCTGTTTTCTGTACCTTTTTACACTACTGCACAGAGTGTGGCAACTTGAACTGCTGTATTTGTTTGTCAAAGTTTTGCGTACTTTAAAATGAAAAAATACACACAATCGCAATTAAAATATGAAACAAATACTGTCGAACACTTACCAAATTCATCCTCTTTTCGTAAGACTTGAACTGTTATGGGTTTGGTTACCACAGCTAATTGAGCCATCAATTTTTCTAGATCTTCCAACTTTGTAATTTGCTTAGTACTTTTAGTACTATTCGGTCGATTTATGCCCAGATTTACACCATCAATACAAATCAATATATCGCCTTTTTGAAACTCACAGATATCTGCAGAACTACCTAGATTTTGAGTGGTAGGTAGTAAAAAAAGAAAAGTGAACTGCAGGAATCATGTAAACAAAAAGTAACCAGTAGATATATTGACTACGAAATCAAACATCTATACTTTACAACAGGTAATCGAAAATAGTAAGGCGACAAACACAACAGGATGCAGTCAAGTGTAGATGTGTTGTCATCCAGGTACTACGAAACAAAAAAAACTACTTGTGTACAGGTTTGTATATTCTCTTTGATGACAGAAAGATGGTCAATGAATCCACATACATACACACATGTTCTCGGAAGATAAGTTTCTGTCAGTCTTTACAACATATATATGTGATATTACCCTTGTGTGAAGCGGTCAAACACACAAAGTGGAGATTTGTTGGAATATTTTGTATTGCAACAAAACCCTAGATTTGCAGAATTAAATTTTGCATTATTGTCTACGGTTTGTTTAATCTCACTAAAAAACTTGCTAAACTGGGTTATTTTGACTTCAAGAAAGTGTTTATCATAGTGAGTGATAGTGGTAAAATGCAACTTAAATGGGTATAAAATATCCTACAGAATAGTACATTTATACAGTATACACAGACAGTAGAAGCATGTAAAACCTTACAACTTACCTATTTTAACCCGCTCAACAACAAATGGGAATGTGTCTGAAGGACCTTCAGCTTTTAAAGTTAATCCCCAACAGGATTCTGAAACTCCATGTCTAGATGATAAACGCAATTTGCACTCTGAATAATCTTCAAATTTAACAGAAACATCACCGTTTTTCTTTTCTGGTGGGAATATAAACTTTTGATTATCTGATTCATTTGTAGGTATTAAAGAGCCATTATTATGTGGTGGGTCACGAATTATTTCAACAGAACTACGCTTGGTAGGTTTCTCGACAGAAGTGTTCTTCGAGGCGGAAATATCAATTTCTTTGTCAGAAGTATTTTCCTATAAGTATAAAGAAGTGTTAGGAAAAATGTGAAAATATTGGTTATATATACAGGCTACTTCAAACATTATCTCACTGCTTTCCTGTCACCATCCTTAAAAATCTTAAAAGCCACTCATGCTAGAAAAAAATACTGTATGCCTTGAAGAGGAAAGTATGCTTCTACAAAATAGAGGTGGTCACATTCGGTGAGTATTCAACAGAATGAGTAGGAAAAAAAGAAATTCATCTTAGCCTTAAGGATATCTCGATGTTGCATGTAGTATCATACATACACTAGTATCTTGAGAGAGAAAAAATAGAATTATACTCTGTATTCAGGATTTCATCATGAGCTGGCATTAGTTAGAGAACCATTGGAAAACCTGGGAGTACTGGACAGCTGTTTCGTCCTAGTTTGGGACTCTTCAGAAGTACGCACCCACTGGGATTAGAACCCAGTACCTTCTGGTAACAAGGCGAGCTCGTATACCATTAGGCCACCGGGACCCGATCCAATGATGAGATCCTGAAACCAATCAAATCCCTACAAACCAACACTTGAATAACAATGAGATGCTCACTAGCGACTTGCCCTATTCAGGTAGGTAGTCACCTGGGGTTCTAGTGAGAAGTTGTGACCAGTAGGGTGCAGCAGGTCGGGTGTGAGGACACATACTCGCCGAAGACATTGGTTAGGGGTCGCTCTATGTCGTGAATTGGTAGAAGTTAGGATTCATGGACCATTGGATCGGGTCCCGGTGGCTTAATGGTATACGAGCTCGCCTTGTAACCAGAAGGTACTGGGTTCTAATCCCAGTGGGTGCGTACTTCTGAAGAGTCCCAAACTAGGACGAAACAGCTGTCCAGTACTCCCTGGTTTTCCAATGGTTTTCTAACTAATGCCAGCTCACGATGAAATCCTGAAACCAATCAAATTCCTACAAACCAACACTTGTATACTCTGTATTGTCTATATTACAGATGCTTCACTACGTTTACGTAACATAGAGTATTTGTTCAAAGGTTTTTGAATCCTACTTTACAGAAACACTTTAGCGAAAATACCTTGTCAGAAAGAAATTTCATCAGAGGTATCCATGTTCTTCAGTTTGCTTTGATACATGTAAACTTAACAATACGTGCATAGACGCAGTAAATGTGGATTACGAAGACAAGAACAATTCTATAAGTAAAAAAGAAATGTCAGCAACTTAAATACTCACCAGTAGCTGTGCTTTCATTTCAGATATAGGAGAGGGACAATTTGTGTGCCCATTCATTTCAATTTCGGAGGAGTTTGATTTTATATGTTCCACATCTTCTGTCAATCTAGAATTGTGCGGAGAAACTGATTGAGAATTTGAAATTGTATCCACTTGTCTACTTTCTTCATGATTCATAGTCGGTGAATCGAAAGCACTACCTGTTAACAGTGCGACACCAGGACTTTTGATCGGTGGTGAAGGCACTAACTCTATGGAGGATATGCGTCCACAGCCTAGAAGGCTACGTTGATGTCTATTGAAAAAAAATAGCATCCAAATGAAATAGCGCAATATTAAAAATATGACTGTATACAGAAAATATTTGGGAAATAGTATATAAGGATAGAAATACAGCTGCTCAGGGGAATGAAGCATACAGACACTAAATAAAGATACCATAAAGAGTATTTAAGCTCTACATTTTTACAAACACAAACTCTACCTAGATTACTGAGATGAAAATGTGCTTAGCACATGCTTCTACTAGACAATTTAGTTAATATAATAGGATAAATATGTAGCAAATATGGTCAAATTTCACATACTTCACTTGACGTAAACGGTCTTTGGCTTCTTCCTTGCGTCTTTCATTTTCTTTATTTTCACGTTCCTGTAATAAAGTCAAATGAGTAGCTTCCATGCGTAAAGCTTGTCGACGCTTTTCACGCCATTTATCCAACTTCTAAAGGCAAAAGAGGAAGAAAACGTGTTGGAGATTAGTCTCATATAAGAAATTAAAAAAAGGGATGCGATAATGCAAACAAAAGCTACTGTGGTCAAAGTAAGAAAAAACAACAAAATTTGCAGTATCAAATGTACACACTTCATTTCGAGACTTCTCTTCAACAGCAGACAGCCTAAAATAAAGATAATTATTTAGGTTAGACCACGCATTGTGATATCAGTTGGAGAACCATTGAAAACTTGAGAGCACTAGACAGCCGTTTCATCTTAGTTTGCGATTCATCGGTAGTGCGCACCTACTGGGTTTCCAACCGAAGACCTTCCGATTGCAAGGCAGGCTCGTATACCATTCAGCCACTGGGAAATAGTATTAACGAAGTAAGAATATACACTTATTTTTATTCCATAAATTGAAGTTTGACATGAGGATCGTGGTTTGAGGAAATAACAACAGATGAAATGTGATAGCATAATAACTTGAAAAGAAGGGGGTTATTTATCTTAAGTTTGCGGGAATATTCGATAATTTCTGATAACTGGCTTAACGACACAAAACACTAATTAAACAGCAACAGACAGGGAGAAAAGATTACGTAATAACATGCAAGTAAGCACTTGGAGCAATTTGAAATCAGTTAAGTGAATTAATTTTATACAGCCGGTTCCCTTTATTAGTTTGAATAAAGAAAGAATGGAAATATATTTGCAGGATAATACCAGCTTGTTTTATGTCGTGGATTCTCTTCAACTGTGTATATCCTAAACAAATCAATTACATGTTACGAAATTTTTTTGAACATACTTTTTACAATGATTCCTAGTTGTAGATAGAAAGTATAAGCAACATAATTTCAATGATTATGTAAGCAGATAATTATTTAGTGTTAAAAGTGTAACTATTGATATAGTAATTAGACACGGGGTAGAGTTCAGACTTCTCTTGGAAACACCGATGAACTAGAGATAAAATACAAGATCGAACAATACAGTTAATTTATACATGTTATGGTGGAAAATTCAGGAGGGTGGGGACATTAGTGAAGTAAAATTATAAGAGAAAATAATTTAATTTAGTAGATTTTAAACCCTAACAGTGAGTTCTACTCAGTGAGTGAAAATCAAAGTAAAGATTGAGTGGAATGTTACACAAAAGAACCAAACACTAGCGCACACGAACAAAACAATTTCGGTTAGCAGGGTAGTGAAAGATTTGTCACACTCTCTTTCTGTATGCATAGGTTGGGTCGAAGTTTTCTGACGGCAGTGGCTTCTGCGATCCGAAGTAACTATGCTTTTCTTTGTGCATTGATTATTTTGAAAGTCTGACTAATTTCCACTGTATGTCCCATGTTGTACTAGAAAACACCACTAACTTTCGAATGGAAACTTTTAGGGTTGTGCTCAGAGAATCTAGTAGACGCTCTCGTCTCAGTCCTTCCTATGTACTTGTTACCGCAAGTGCGGGCGAATTGGTAAATGCAGTTGGAGTTGAAATGAGCAAGATACTTATATACTTTTGACTGGGTTAACGAACATACTATGTTGCAAAGTGGAATGAGTCTGGTGGTAGGAAATGTTATTTTTAGCGCACCTTTAATTCTGTTTTCCGTTCCCATGGATACTTCTTTGCCTTTGTACGCTAGATAGATGAAAACTGGTTTCTTTTCAACTATTTCGGGTTTAACTCTAGGTGGTTTTTCTTTCCCATATTTTGATATGAAATTCCGACGGTATCCATTTTTGATAAGGTTCTTTTCGATGCCCCTTTGTTCTCATCTTCTGAACACAACAATCTCGCTCTGCAGAAGAAGGTTTTTACCAAGCTTCGTTTGTAGCCAATTGGGTAAAAGTTGTGAAAATTCAAGTGTTGGTCATTCCAAGTTTCTTCCCTTTAGATGGATTGTACAAATGTCCCATCATTTCCTCTTTTATGCTGAGATCTAGGAAGTGGAATTGATTGTCCAGTTTATGGTCCATTGTAAATAATTAAAACCAGAAGGTCAGAAAAAGGATTATAGTGATGATGATAAAAAAACGGAAAAATAATGACGTGATAAATAGGAAAAATTATCACCCGGATGAAGTGAGATGAATCATCACTGTTTCCTTTTGTATACAAAAGCTCTGGTTTGAATTACTTGATGGCAATAGATTCAGCAAAATCGAAGTAGAGTTCAGCTTTTTTTGTTTGTCAATAAACCAAAATAAAATGTGTACATTTTATACCGCAAATTTTGTTCTTCTTGCTTTGATGAAAAAGTTATTATTACTGTAAATTCATTAGATTATGTATGATCTGCGTGCATCACAAATATGATGGTGTAAAGTTAAATAACAATCCGTCTAAGATTAATTACTTCTTAATATATATATTTTATGTAATAAGACGTCTATTTATCATGATTACGATACAAAATATGTTGATCATTTATAATTCTAGTCATTTCAGTATAAATTATTACGATAATAATAATAATTATTATTACATATCTAACCAGTGAATATAGATTATTATTTGAATTTTACAAAGCGAAAGAATGTGTGCTAAACGTGAAAATATCAACTAGCTTAGAACTGTTAAGCAACCAGTAAGTAAGCAATACACGTTGGTGCTGGTTTTTATCAGCAGGGAGGTGGGTGATTTCTAGGTTGAAATCATTCAGATGTATACTTCAATCATTTTCTAAAATACTTTTTACAGACTGGTCTATTGGAATCAAAGTAAACAGAGATGATACCACCGAAAAAGAAATAAAGACATCAGTGTACTACAAGTAAAATACTTCGCAGTAAACTCGTAGGTTACCTGTTCATCAGTCGTGCAAAGTGTAGAAAATGTAATAAATTATTACGTGGATGCTCAGGGAATAAGTTGGATGTATGCAGTTTGAATTATTTGTCTATGCAATGACTGACTATATTACATTATCACGCAACTAAGTTTGGTCATCATGGTGATTCATCGACAAATTATTATCATTGCTCCCTTGGGTTCCTAGTGGAACATAGGACTTCAACTGCACGTCTCCACTTGCTTCTGTCTTCTGCTCTACTTTTCACCTGCATCCATGTTGGTCTATACTCTTACAACTCCTCTTCACACTATCTCCTCCATGTCACCCTTGCACTGACGTCCCACTCGCCGCCTGGTTCTACTCGAGAAATGGCGTGACGCGCGACGTCACCAACCGGCCTCTTCAGAGTGTCCGGTCCATCTCCACTTTCTCCTGAATATTTGTTGGGCGATCGGTTCTTGTTTTGTTTGCTCCCATAGTTCCTTGTTGGTGATTCTTTCCGGCCATCGGATCTTCAGTACAGATCCAGCAAAGACAGTTGTTAATCAAGGTCTACAATAGCCTGTTGGAAATATTCCGCCCGTCAAGTTTCTGATCCGTATAGAAGAACTGACTGACTTGACGTTTGTTATTGAAAATCCTACCGAATTTTGTTGTTGACGCTGAGTGAAGAAGATTTCCAGATTGATTTCAGGTTGGTGAATGTGTTTCTCGCCTTCCTGATTCTCGATTTGACATCCTCGTCCGTTCCTCCTGTAGTTGAGACAATGCTTCCTAGATAAGTGAATGAAGTGACCTCTTTCAAATCCCTCCCGTTGATGGTGATTGACAAATGATGTAATAAAAATTTAGTAGATCAATACTGATAAATTGACAAGAGTAAGTACTGACATGAATAATAAGGAAAAGCAAATAAGAACGAAAATAAGTATCATAAATCCCTTAAGCGATCAGATAAAACCTGCAGCCTAGTAAATGAACCTATACTGGTTGTCCCAATTGCAACTTTATTGCCACATCGAAAGTATGAAAAACTTAGGTTTTTGGCGACAGACGTTAGCCTTTAGTGCAGCAACATGATAAGTAATAACGAGATTACACGCAGAAAGTAAGGTAAAGAAAGGAATCAAATCGATGAATGGGTGAAGCTCCGTCAGTTGAGCTTGCCAGAGGACGTGCTACGAATTCCTAACCTAAGCACTTTACAACAAGCAGTCTTAACTGAAATAGAACTGTCTGTTTTCGACATAGAACTTTGCACAAATGTGCGGAAGTTCAAGTCGCCACTGATGGTACTTCCCAAATAAGTGAAGCGGTCAACGTGCTCTACCACTTCACTTCCTATTTTTAAACTAGGCGTCGATGTAGTCCAGATTAAAACTGTTAGGGGTGGTCCAACAGAAAAATAGCACCAATGCATAAAGTCTTAGATTATCGCTTGTATCCACGTAAGGAAGTGTAGACTGAATGAATAGAATTGTGGTGATGCTAAGAACCAGTAGTTGGAAACTACATCGTGTGAAATCATCCACACGTATTCACTCTTCATCATCTTCCCTAGCCTGAAAAATATTCGATGATTCTCACTCAACTGTTATCTAGATATACAGCTTTGTTTATTGTTGTTTCACTCAATTTCTTTTCTTTACCTCGATACATGCAAGTGTGAATTGAAGTTACATGGACTAATTCTTTTTTAAGTAAAGTTTTGCATTAGTAGATGAGTCAGTCATTCAGCTTCCCCACACTGACTGCCTTATTTCTATTATAATTTCCAGATTATTAGTAACCACATGTGCGTCGGTGGCGCAGAGGTAGAATGCTCGCCAACCACGCCTCAGGTGGTTCGGGACTCAATCCCCGGCTGACTCACTCCTTTACCTCGCTAAACCAGTAATAAGACTGGTAAAGAGGGAAGGTTGGACATCAGGCTAGCAACCCCACCCCGTAAAAATAAACACCACTGTTACCGAAACTTCAAGCCTCCAGCTTGAAGTCCTATGTTCGACTGGGCACGTAAAGGAATAAAACAGAAAAAAATAAGTCTGTCTGTCTGTCTGTTTTCGACATAGAACTTTGCACAAATGTGCGGAAGTTCAAGTCGCCACATTCCGTGTAGCACGCGAAGCAAGAAAAGAAAGTACAAGAAAAGCATAATAGAAACAGTGAACAGAGGTGTGAGACAAAGGAGAGATAAAGAAATACAAAACAGTTTCATTGAAGATCATAAGTCACAAGGAGTGGATGCATCTGCGCCACTGAGAACGATTTTGAGCCATGTCACCAATTGTTTCCAACCATAGATTTTTACCGTCCCGAGGACCCCAGCCTGGAAGTCTACACCTTCCTACGTGGCTTAGACCAACTGTTGTGGATTTCATTGACTGATGCCAAGTTTTTGTTTGACCACCGCTAGCTTTTTTCCAGCCTGACCCTATATCCGCTAACATTGCTCGTCGAGGGAGGCGATGGCTTGGCATACGTAACACATGTCCTAACCATCTCAGTCTTTGTAGCTTCACGACTTCGTCGATTGATTTCCCCTGTTTACCTAGAACTCTACGCCTAACCTCCATGTTGCTCACCTTATTATGCCACTTTACACGGGAAATAGAACGCAGGCACCTATGATCAAAGGCAGCTAGTCTTTTCATGTCTTCCACTCTCAGTGGCCAGGTCTCACAACCATAAAGGAGGACGGAGCGGACTGATGAGCAGTACACCCGCCCTTTGGTCGATAGTCGAACATCTCGTCTACGCCAGAGTCGGCGTAAACTAACAAATGCGAAACGAGCCCCTTGTATTCGTGCTGAGATTTCGTCAGAGATCAGCCCGTTGGGGCTGATGGTACTTCCCAAATAAGTGAAGCGGTCAACGTGCTCTACCACTTCACTTCCTATTTTTAAACTAGGCGTCGATGTAGTCCAGTCCTGTAACATCATCTTGCATTTGGCGGGAGCGAATCGCATGCCAAACATTCGTAGATTGCGGCTCAAGGTGTTTAGAAGACTCTGCATTTTTTCAGCGTCTTCGCCTAGAAGGACTATATCGTCTGCATATTCCAAGTCAACGAGATTATTCCTCGGTAGCAAGTCAATCCCTGAGTCGCTGAAGTCACCTAGGGTTAAGTCCATTAACACATCTATGATGAAGTTGAATAGAAAAGGAGATAATGGGCATCCTTGACGGACACCACTGGTCGTCATCAGTTCAGATGACAGCTCGCCGTAAGCCCTCACCTGGCTGTATGAGTACGAATAGAGTGCCTTAATCAGTGCAATATATTTTCTTGGAATTCCCTTTACAGCCAAGCATCTCCAGAGAACTTCCCGATCGACAGAGTCGAATGCTGCCTTTAGGTCAAGAAATATAATGACTGTTGGACGCCGGTAGGAATGCCTATGTTCTAGAATCTGTCGGAGGGTGAAGATATGATCAATACACCCTCTTCCTGGTCTAAAGCCTGCCTGGCTCTCTCGTGTTTGTGTCTCCCGAGCACCACTCAGTCTACGCATGATTATTGAGCCTAAGACTTTAGATACTATATTAGTCAAGCTAATCCCTCTGTGATTATCACAGGAAGACTTGTCTCCCTTCTTGTATATGGGGATAATCAGTGACTTACACCAACCCGATGGGACTTCTTCTGATTCCCAGACGCTGCCTAGTACCTCAGTTAATGCAGACAGTAAGCTGTCTCCACCGTACTTAAATACCTCTGGAGTCATTCCATCAGGTCCCGCTGCTTTGCCTAGTTTCAGATTGGTGACAGCTTTAGTAACCTCAGTTAGGGATGGAGGACCTGTGTCTATATCCCATTCAGGGAGGTGTTGGATGCTCGGAAGGTTGAGCGTGGCTGTGGGCCAATTAAACTGCTCCTCATAATGCTCTTTCCAACGATCCAGTCGTCTATCCTGGGAGCTAATTATAGTGCCATTTTTTTCCGAGATTGTCTCACTGATGATTTGTCTTCTCCCACCCGTTTCCCTGATGAGTCTAAAGAGTTGCCTGGTGTTGCCTATCCTCGAAGCTTTCTCCATCTCTTTGGCTTTTGTTGCCCACCACTGTTCACGGTCCTTGCGGAGACTTTTCGTAAGTTTCCTCTTGTGCAGCTTTCGCTCCTCATTGAATTCGGAGCTCGCCGGAATAAAACAGAAAAAAAATAAGTAGTCGCATAGGGAACTCCGAATGAGGTAGTACTTTAATGCATGAAGATCGTAGAATGTAACTCAAGACATATTCTTAATAAGGTTTTTTTCACAGCAGATTTTAAGTGAAAATAATATTTAAAAAGGAGATAATTTCAAATTTTTATTTTGTCGTAATTTGCAACTTTTCTCCTTACTCATTTGACTAGTTTTATTATATCATAAGGATTTAAAAGACCAGATATGAAAGTCCGAGCCAACGAAAAAGTACATTACCTTGCTTCCCTTGAATACGTGAACTACCCTATGTAGAAACGTTAAGTGGATGTACATTATTGCACATTTGTATTCAATTTATTGACTTCCTAATTACCTAAAATGTGAAAATACGCTTACAAGTGGAGAACTACACCATAATACTATGCAACTATAGGTAGAAAATTTTGAGATTAAGCGCAAAGGCGTAGACAAAATTGAAGATCACAGCAATAAGTACTTACCGACTGCCATTCTTCCTCTTCTTCAAAACAGTTGTTATTTGCTTGTAGGTATTCGGTACCAGTAACTGACTTAGATCGACCAGTATTATTAAAAACTGAATTTTCTTCATAACTAGGTGATGCTGAGTGGGAAATGCTCATTTTTCAGCGTTTACAGTCATAAAAAGTATCACAAAACTTGAAAGGCAAGTAAAGATCCACAATGTTAGAAGTTTGTATGAATTTTAAAGCAGTTATAATCCCCCGTAGTTTCAATGACTGATTAAAATGAAATACAAATAAGCATTTAGAAACTAAGAAACAACATATTAGATTACTATGTCACCAGTAAACATTATTTTATTAAGTCATCAAAGTATGTTGAAAATCGAAAGAATATCCAATGTGAAGCCACCATGAACATGAATTAGTGAGAATACGTGGGTACTCATGTAGTGTCTTATGTGGCGAATGACTAAACTAATAGCTCCACAGAGTTGAAGAAGTTCGGAAAAGCGGAAAGAAACATACATAGGGGACATTTTTCTAGTCAATGGATGCAAAAAGATGCGGAATCACTGTATGATCTCACCGAGCTCTAAGATGAAACGAGCTGATGCATTTAATATTTGCATATTCAAAGAAAGTAGATAACAGAGAAAATGAGAACAAAATAATAATATGAAGATTCGTGCAAAACACTGATGGATAAAAAAAGTAAATAGGTTGGAAAATGCAAATATGAACACCAAGTCGAATAACAAATATTCACCAACAAAATGATGTACACAGTAGTTTATTTTATTTCATGTATTACTTGAAAATATACTTCTTTATTTTATTTTGATTACAGCTTGACTCCACACTGAATTTTTGATACAGGTGTGGAATTTTCAGCATGGATATCGGTAGCTAAAATTTTGCAGGCCGACCATAGATATCAGGTGTGCGTCGGCAGCAGACCGAACCCCGGGCCATTTGCATGGTCGGCGAGAGTCCTAACTACTGCGCCACCGACGCATAGTCGGGTTCTGCCTATAAAGCTATGAATCATTTAGCAAAACATATAAAAAAATCTAAACGCACTCGGATTACTTCCAGTAATTGTATAAAACTCGCAAAACTATCATGATTTTTATGACAGTTTCCGACATTAAGACAGAGGAAAATGAATTTAAACACGGAAGTGATGAAATGAGCAGCAAGAGTGCACATATGAAGAGAAAGAAAGAAATTAACATTAATTATTTATTCGGTACATGACAGATGGTAAAAGACTCCGATCCAATACTTTAAATTTCCCTAAAAAACAAACTGTTTCGACTGCGAATGAGACATACACGAATTCATAAGATTTGCGTTTGCTTGTTTAAGCTCAGTTACCTGGAACATATTTTTCATGTACCTGGCTAAGAAACACACTTATCGCATTAAGGTTGATGATACTACTCACTCAGTAGTTCATACTGAAGTAGGTAGAGCGGGACCCAAACTCTTGACTCATGGACTGAAAAAAGAGTGTTTATGCCAATGAAATACATCTCCACAAAATCAGGGAGTACTGGACAGTTGTTTTGTCCTGTTTTCGAGACACTTCATCAGTACGCACTCCTCAGAGTTCTAGCCACAAATGATATAAATGACTGATGGGAGAACGTAGACCTTTAACTAGAAACAAGTTTGGCAATAGTTAAATGTGAATGAATTCGAGCTACTTTACACTACAAATTTAGACACCTAATGAATGATCTTTCAAAAAAATGCCAGACATCAGTTTAACCTGCTAGTGGTAAAATCTTAGGAATATCTAAGTAGTAAAAATAGTGAGGTCACCATGAAATCTTTTAACCACCTGACCCACTAATGTATTGATATTTGGCTTCTTTGATAACTTCTTTGTATGTTGCAAGTTAAAAACAAGCATTCTAATAAAAGTGTGTGAAATCAAACTGCACGTCAACGTATATCATAGAACACATGCTTGTTCAAAAACGTCTATTAACGAGACCTTTTCACAGGTTGTTCTGTAGTAAACACATGGAGTTTAGGTGGCAATTTATATGAATTCAGTAATATGCAGATATAGGCCATTTCAATAAAATGAGTACAAAGGTAATCTACAGTCATTTGGTCTATTAGACAGAAAGTATCGGATGGTTAGAAGCCACAAAGGAGGAGTAAACAAAAACGTTTATGGAAAAAACTAGCTAAAACAAGAGCGATGCTTAATTTAAAGGTTCCAAACTTATAACAAATATGATAAATAGCTTACTTTACATTTATATCAATTAATACATTGCTGATCTCATTGCGGACAAAATGTTGATTATAATGCGTCGAGACCATACACACAAACAGAATTCTCCTAGGTCAGCAGAAGAGTTTTCTTATACTAGGGATTACAAAATAAATATGCAAGAGTAATGATAATTATACACAATGTTGAAACAAAAAAATGACCTGGATATTTTACCAGAGTGCATCCAGACACATTACAATAAAATGAATGAGGAAATTACCCGAAATATGATACAACATAGCCAAGATTCATAGATTTAGCTAGGTGTTCAAAGTTTTGAAAGTGATAATGAAGACATTCAGACGACTGTAACCCATCCAGAACATTTTTATCAAGTATTCTACTACTGATTTCTAACAATTTAAGGTCTCCAATCAGATGAAGTACCCTTTCATGCAAAACTCAGGCCACTGGTTATCGACACCCCGAGTTTTTATTATCTTAGTTCAGAGCAGCACGCTTTACTTACTGTTAATCCTTCAGCTGACATTTTTATGGCTATGGTTCAGTAAGCGAAAGATGCGAAACATGCACATTCATCGCTACCATACACAGTCTAATATACATTCCACGGAGCTATCCAATTTCCAGAAAATGTTTGGGAAATAGAAAAATCCATACTTAGATATGGAAATGAAAAGTTAATCACCAACAATTAATTTTATATTATTCTGGAAGATCATTAATATTGTGTAAATCTAAATTGTAAATCTAAAATTTTCTGATCTTCGTTACATTCTACGGCTGTGGATTTCAATCCATAGTAGGAAATCTTATCTCTCGAGTTCACCCAGCACTCAAAAGCAGAAATATAGGAATTCCAGGACTTTGCAGCAATATTACTCTTGTACAGTGCATAAACAATTGTGATCACACACATACTGATGTCCGCAAGGTTTTTCAATACGTGTCTCAGGCATTTTTATTAACAAAGAAATGGTTTAAAAAGGTAGTCACAAATTATGCCCAATAAAAAAGATTTAGGAGCAATTTTGGTCGGTTTTGAAGGAAAATGTTGCGTTTCCCCTGAATTTGGTCAAAATTTCTGTGGAAACTTTTTACTTGGGATAAGATCACAATTGTGATCATTAATGGGGCATTAGTGTTCCTTTATTTATGTAAGTATTCAAAAAGCATGAACACTGGGAAAAGTAGCCAACTTAATGTATAAACAACAAGAATTGCAGTTCTAATTTATCATGTTCATACGCAGTGAGTGATCTTGGATACAAATAACGTTATCTATAGATAACGGCTTATAAGCCTGCAGGCTTATATTAGACACATGTGTATAATATAAGTTCTCAAATTTTCACGACATTGACTGAGCCACTATGGACTCAAAAGCACAATAATCTTCAAGTAGTATAAACTCTGCTGAGATGTAGTGGTGGATTTCCTAATATTCGTTAACAACATATACACCAAACGCTGGAGACAAAGGAAATATAACTACTTGTGAAACCTAAAGACTAGACTAGGAAAATCTTTATTTAGTAACTGCATAATAAAACACCTCTTGAATATTATAAAAGGCAATAACTTAGCAAAAGAACCAACCGGTTACTACGACAGTAACTACAAACGAAAATATCCTTGAGCTTTACAGAGCGCGCCAAATATATAACTGCGTGGTTCAACACCGTAAAAACATCAATGAGAAAGTCATCATTACAAATATTTCACAAAATCTCCAAGAATACTCACCTGAGTTGTTTCGAATGCATATATCGCATTATTACCCATTAATGATGCTAAATTCAGGCCAAAATTTGGTGCCGCGTTATCAGGAGGAACATAAGTTATGTTAAAATTACAACTCGAATATTTTAAAGTTGTACTTTAACCACGTCACACCTGCTTGTTTATCACGAGAAAATAAGAGAATCGGTTTTACGTTTGTAGCACCAGTAATTTCAGAAAGAATCATATTTAACCGAGTTGGTCTTTCAAGCACCAACATAGTAACTAGTTAATGAAATGTTTGCACCTTATATAATAAGTTTACAAAGTCCTGAAAATTGAAGTGGCCAGAATATAAAGGAAGTTTCAAGATTTTCAACTGAATAAGTATTAATCTTTTGAAACAGCATGAAAATCGCAACCCGTTTTGTTAAGCCATGAGGGACACCAGGAGGTAGGCGAACAAAGTGATAAAACAGATGTATTATTCTAAATGTTCTCATGTTATTTTTCTATGTCAGTCCTTAATCCCGTGTGTCACTGAGAATTCCAGGCGAATATCTTCGCTGTTAAATCTTTACACCGATGCAGAAGTGCTCGTGAACGTTGCCTCAAATTCTATCTGAAGCATAAGTAAGCCACTGCGGGAGACAGGTATTATCCTCGGTGTCGAAAACAGCCGGGAAAAACACTTTAGTTGGGAGTGAATGGTTTAACATCAGAAATGCCAGTGTTTTAGTTTTCAAACGGCAGATCAAACACACCCTTGTCACTACATTCGAAACAAGTGAGGCCCTTTCCTTAACAGTTTTCCAAGCCATCAACCAGAACATGTTGATGACCGGATCGCAGACAATATACTGCATGGGATGAAATGTAATTGAGCATCAAACTCATCCTATATACTCTTGTCTACACTACTTATTGCATAAGAAGCCATTTCTTCAACATGCTGAGGAGGTGCATTATGCGGCAAGACAACCACTGTTGTAATTTTGAATAGATACTAAGTGTTTCAGCCGGCTCAGAGTGGTTGGATATTGCAGGCCCTTGTTTCCCCTGTCACATTTTACTTACCAACGCTTAAAGAATCGAATCCGTTTGAAATTCATCCACTATTGAACAGCACAGTCAGGAATCCATTATCGGAATTCCGGTTAGAATAGAAATGGAAAAATCTTTGATATACACATCTAGAGCCATTCGCCACTTGAAAACGCTAGTGATGAATGCGAGTTTTATCAAAAAAGTTACAATAATATATCGCTCCGTACCAATCGGCACGCAACTAGGCATTTAACAGTTCGTTTGCATATGTCAATTCGTATCTCTACCATCAGTGAAGTACAAAAAACATTTGGAGACAGTAGCTATTTAAGTTACTTCATCGTTTCTATAATTTCTTTGTATTGCTTTTGCTCTCAATCCTTGACGTACATAGGTAACATTGGCATCAGGATCACGATGGAATTCAGTAATGTTTCTCGTAATTCCATCCAACAAAGACGCTATTACAGAGAGAGTGGCATGAGATTATTTGACACTAGGAGTTTTAGAGTGCTTGGGCAAATCGACAGTACTCATTTGTTTTCCGAGAATTCTGTTTTAACCTCGATGAATTCAGCGTACCCCAAGCAATTTTTGCATTATGATCCAGTCATTCGACTATTAATAAATCGCATGTGTCACTGATTGTGAGCATTGAGTGGGCCTTCACTGAATTTGTGTACTCAAATCAGTTTCCTGTCCGTGGGAAGCAACCATCTATATCTCTTTATGTGCTACAGAGACTTTATAACAGACTGTTCCGACTGACTCTCATGTCAGAGAGAACAATCAAACTGTAAATTCATCATACATCAAATTGTGTAATTTATATAATAACTTATCCATGCCTGTATAATTGGTATGTTCCTGCATAAACAGGAAGAAATATATTATTATTATTACTTCGACGTTTGCTCATTAACAGAAGACTAAAGCTATACGACCAGAAGTATTACTGTACATTATACTGAATTTATTCTTCGACTTTTCAGTATATTGATGGTAAACAACCGTAAATCACATGGTTAAGGTGCTGCGTAATTTTTCTACTGTATAGGTTTGCACTTGTGTCAGTGTAGTTGAAGATTGAACGATCAATTCAGGGTTGTTTGCTCAAACCCAACTTCCCCATATTTTCGCGGAGGCATCAATGCACCAGTCATTGTCTCATCGTTCGCTGTTCAGAAAGAAGATAGAAAAACTGTCAGAAGTAATCTTGTGATTTATTGTTGTAATATTTGTTCTTAGACCTTAGTCTGTAATGCCCGTAATGCTGGTTACATGTTGATGTTAGAATAAAGAATCCTCGAGGGCTGAAATTATCCGTAACTTATCTAGGTCATCGGTGGAGTGAGACGCTCGAAGGTCATTTTCGTCCATGTTAGTCGGCCATGTTGGATTGCAGTTCCGTAGCTGTTCGTGTACGCGTTTGTTGTTCCGTTTATCCTACCGTTATACACGGCTTATCTTGTTGCGTATTGTTCACAAATGTTGCGTTTCACTTCATTCTTTGTTTCCGTTGCTGTTAAAATGAATTATTTTTTGGTTTGGAAAGTTTTCACTACCAGGTCAGTGCATTCATTTTGGTGTAATTGTTTCATACCTTGTATTTATGCGGCTTTCAGTGTTTTAGTTGGTTTTCAGCTGTTAATAAATTGGCAATGTGTAGAAGTTTTGGAAATCATGCACATGAAGATGTTTGGCTGGTAGAAGCAGTTGTTTCCAGTCCATTTGTTGGTTGCTGGTTTTGTTGCTGGCTCATTTGGTTATTTAACATGTAGAAATCTGGGAAACTAATGTCTTTCACGTTTACGTCTACAGCATGCAACAATTTACCAGTAAATCTGGTGACGAGAGCACGATCAAAGTTGATTTTAGCAAGGTTTTCAAAGAACATAATCCTGGAGAATTTAGAACCTGGGTTGAAGTTGAAAAAGCTTTGAAGCTTTTTGAGAATGTGAATATACCATCAGTGTGTCTGCTATCACTTAAAAAAATGTATTGTGAGAGAATCTAAGTCAAATAAGGTTGAGCCGCATGAAAAGTATGAATCTGTTGTGCTTGTGCGTATTTTGGGAAACTAAAAGAAACTGGAATCCTTAAGGGTAAGTGTTACTTATGCTTATTATTGCTTGATGTACTAGATCCAAATACATGAACTAGGACTGCCCGTAATAGAGCCAGTGTTAACATCCATTCGATGGGTTGCAAAACGGTTTTCAAAGCGGATAAAACACGACGATCTGGTGAGTGTACGATCTATCCCAGTTAAGGGTAAGACATTAATTAGGAAGAATGACATTTCGGGTTGTAATCTACGATCGGTGATTTCCTCGAAGTTGTGATTTTTCCGTGGCTATAAATACTGATGTCCATGGTCTTTAAAAAAACTAAATAAATTTTCCTTGAACCAGTAGTCTTCTTTTCTTTGGCGAAATATCCGTTGATACGATTACGTAGCGAAGTAGGATGTTCTGTGACTGAGAATCGTGGTTGTTGTGTTTCTGACTAATTTCGCGCATCTGACTGTTATAACCGCATGGATATAGCGTTTTCCTCATGGTACATTATGATATCTAGAAATCATAAGCAAGCTGCCATCGGTAAATTTATTTTTACTTTTTAAATGACTGCAAATAGTGAATCGTTTGAGGTGATAGGGTGGATACCTCTGAATGTTTTTGTGGAGACTAGGGTATATTTAATTTTTTGGAGTAGGAGACGATCTTTTCACCACGAAAGTTCTCAGAATTTCCGCTTTTACTTCGTTATTCAAAGATAACGTTAAGTTGCACACTAAGGTAGTAGCTATAGGAGATTACCTTCAGCGAAAGCCACTTTAAGGTAACTACGTAGCTTTAGGTAATGCGTCATAGAAGTAAGCATCGTAGGTTAGTTGTGTCTGAATGTATTAAACGTTGTATAACTGATCAAACCACAGTTCTTACGTACGAGTTACTTTTATAAATAATGAATGTGCCGTACAAGCGTTTACCTTGATTTGCATACCTAGCTCATAAACATTATGCCTGCATGTGGCATACATTTAGGGCCAATACGCTGTGATGAATTAGTCCGAGATACTTAAAGTCAGACTTGATTTCCATATCACTGTTATCAATTTTGCAACGGTCATAGGAATTAACACCACCTAACTTTCGTTTACATCGGAAACTGAAAATAACAGTCTGACATTTCGAAGGATTCAGTTTAAGAGCATTTTCTGACTCCTAATAGAGAGCTGTTCATCTTAGTACAGTGTAGCTGGCAGTTAACAGACACTGAAATAGTTAGATCGTCGGCGTGCTTGAAAAAGTTCTTTTCGTATGCTTTCGTGCATTAAGTTCGTCAAACAAAAATGCAATTGCTTGGAGGATTTAATCATGAGCTGACATCAGTTGCAATTGGTAATGGACGACTTCCCCCTGACCTACAGTGTACTTTCTCCCTGATAAATAACAATGAAGCCGTCTAACAATCCAACACTCAGTTTGGGTTTCAGCAAGCTTATCTAACAGAATATCTCTAGGTACTGAGTCGAAAGCAGATGTGTAATCTAGGAAGATGCAGCGAATTTAGCCCCATTGTCTATACTGGAGGAAATGTTGTGAAGCGAGACTGCAGCTGCATCTAAAGTACGTCTACTGTGTTTATAGGAGAACTGTTTGGGATCGTTAAAGGCTCTAAATGAAGGTTGGAGATTAAGTAAGAGTAACTTTTCCTTAGTTCGTATATACGTTATTTGATTCGAAACAAAGGAAGCAGGTCTTATTAACACTTGTAACACTAGAAAGTTTGGCATTTTGGGAGAATTTATGAAAGACTTGTTTAGCGTACACACACCAAATGAATAGGGAACACTGGAGGTAATTAGT